TCCCTCCGGCGGGATTCAGGCTACCCCGCTGCCCAGGCAGCCGGAGGAAATGTTCCGTGTCTGGAAAAACCCGCAGCAATGGGAAAGAGGTGGAAGAAGCCCCAGGGCTGGGGCGGGATGGAGAGAGGGGGCCGTGGGGGACTCCCCGCGGGCTCTCGCTACAGCCAGCAACAGGCAGGGTCTTGCCAGCGCTTCAGGGTTTTTCGCCTGAGCCCTAAGAATTGTCCCATTGCTCAAAACCTGAAGCACCAGGAAAACGTGCTGTGGTTTGCTAGGACCACGAAACCCCAAAATGTAGATGATAAATGAAAGGAAACTGAATTGCATCTATTTTTCAGGCCAAGCACATGATTTCTTGGACCTGAGTCACCGAGGCTTGATAAGCCCGGGCGCTCACAGCCTCCTCCCCCCACCGCTCGCAGAGGATGCTTTTTCCTTTTTACTGGAAAAGCGCAACCAGCGGGGCCGGGAGGAAGCCGGAGGCAGCTGAGCCGCGGCCCTGGAGCCCTGACTCAGGCACAGGCTAGGGACACGGCTCTTTCCCAGCCTCCACCCCCGGCCCCAGCCCAGCCCCGAGGGGGACAGCGGGCACGCGGGGGTACCCCAGAAACCCACCACCCGCTCGGCCGGGCTGCGGCAGGCAGGGAGCAGAGCAAGTAACTCGGGGAGTCCGGAGAAACCAGTTTTCCTTGCCGAAGCTGGTTAATCATCAGCTCTAGCTCAGCCCTGAATCACTTGGGCCAGCGGTTTCCTTTCGTTTCCTGCAGTTACTTTTGCTTTCCAGTTTCCACCCCGGAGGGACACGAAACGCAGCTGTTTTGCTGGCGTCGTATCTCCCCGGGGCTGCCTGGGGTCGGGCAGAGGCGCAGTAATGCAACTTTATTTTTTAATGAAAACGCTTCTCATTCCTGTTGCTGCGGAGCAGAGCTCGCCGTACGGCGCACGCCTGGCTTGTAGCTCCAGCGCACATTATAAAACAAAAGGCAAATAAAAAATACCCAGTGTCTATTTGTTTAACCGGGACACGAGCCCCCGTGGAGCCGGCGGGCTGCTCTGTGCAAAGCCTTTCTTTGCAAACCTTGTTCTTTT